CGCCAGAATACCAACAGGTAACATGACAGCAACACCCAACCCAAGACAAGGCATACCTCTGGAATTCCTAGTGCAACCGAGTATCCGACGCAGCACATGAAAAGTCAGCAGCAAGTGTAGATGGACCTCGTCAAGCTTCTCAGAATATGCGAGTTGCTCGCATGGCTCGCTAGGAGTGCCTACGCCCAGTGGATGCAAGCGACGGCGCATGCGCCGAATGAAAAGGCCGCGCTGGCCCTAAGAGCGCCTGAGTGGACGTGGCGCGCCCGAGTGGGCGAAGTGTCTAGAGAACAGCAAGCCCCTCCGACGTTATTTACTTTGGCATCTTGACTGTGCGCATCTTCCGACGCGCTCCGTATGATCGATCACTCGAGGGTTGCAAATGCAACTGACGACCCAGAGGAAGAAGCCTGGACGATCGCGCCCTTCGCGGATAGAGACGTATGCTTAATGCAAGCCGCTGTGGGAATCATTATGTCTTTGTGGTCGTCTTCTCCCAACAGACCTCCGACAGCAAATCCTGCTAGCCTTAAATGTTTCACGTAGACATGTAGATACGGGAGGCCACGATACGTACGTCCATGCGCGACTTTCAACTGGACCGAACCAAACGCAACCCATTGCGGAGCCTCGACCGCAATTTGCGATGCGCTGTGGTGGTACCCTCCAACTTGTTTGGCTTCTGCCCAAGACCCTGTAACGTTCACTTCTTGGAAATACATTTCCGCGCAACTTCCACCCAAATGGCGCGCATCGGCTTGCACACGAAGCAACGAGTCTTCAGCGCTCATTTCACGAGGGATGTTGATCAGAACATGTTTGCCCTGCTTCATCAAATCAAACCGCTCGCCATGGACGTTTTGAAGGTGGGGGTCGCAGTGGCAGCCACGTTTCCGCCAGCTCCGGCCGCAGCTGGAGCTGCAGGAGGGAACGTCGGATGTGGCGTCGGCCAACCTGGAGGATACGTCGGGCTGGGCGTCGGGCTGGGCGTCGGGAAAGACGTCGGGAAGGCCGTCGGGAAGGGCGTCGGGAAGGGCGTCGGGAAAGCCGTCGGGTAGGGCGTCGGGAAGGGCGTCGGGAAGGGCGTTTTGAAGGCTGTCGGGAAAGCCGTCGGATAAGGCGTCGGGAAAGCCGTCGGGAAGGGCGTCGGGAAGGGCGTCGGGAAAGCCGTCGGGTAGGGCGTCGGGAAGGGCGTCGGGTAGGGCGTCGGGTAGGGCGTCGGGTAGGGCGTTGAGTGAGGCGTCGGGAAGGGCGTCGGGTAGGGCGTCGGGTAAAGTGTCGGGTAGGGCGTCGGGTAGGGCGTCGGGCTGGGCGTCGCACCACCGTTAATCTGAACTGTGGCGCACATGGTCCCGCCGTTGTCACTCTCGGTGAAATCGTATAGATCCTCACCGTACCACAATCGGTACTCCCCGGCCGACAACGTCTTAGCCGTAGTCGTTTGCCACGTAAATTGGGGATCTGATTGAGAGCTGGTACCGGAAATTGTGTACCACCCACCATCATGCGTTTTCGTCACGATGTTCCCGTTGTTGTTGTAGTCGGGAAACACTACGTTGTTGCTCGAGTCGATCATACAACGCCGAACCAAGCTGAGTTCCCCCACTTCGTGACCTCTTGCCCCCCCGAATTGTAAACATTACCGCTGGAATATGTCATCAACACGTTGGAGACTGAAATGGCCGTGCTGACATAGAAGGAACCGTATGAATTGTCACGCGCCCCGAAACATACGGTAGGATCCGTTGCCGTCCCATAGCCGTACAAGTCCGCTTGGATGCTGCCGCCATTGTCATGGAGCGATATTGAGCGGGAAGGCTCGTACCACGTGGCGAGAATCGTATCGCCGCTTGATATGTCGAAATTGGCATTGCAGATGATTTCGGTCGATCCGGACGCGTAGCAATTGGAAGGCAACGTGTGCCAATTGGATTGTGACACGATGTACCCTCCATTCTTCATGGCCTCGAACGAATTTAACCCACAACAACACTGTTGCCAGACGGTGCCACCCGACCTCTTCGTATCGCAATAGATGCCGCTTCCACTTTGGTTCACAGTCTTTAACTGCGTGAAAGAGCCGTAATTCATTGTTGTCGCATATGAGGGCATCCACTCGCCATAATATTCAAAATTGTCCAGCAACTGCACGCATGTGTTCGTCGTGTTGGCACGGGACACCGTCTTGAGAGAGACCGCTGCTGGCATGTGGCGGGCAAAGAGTGCCGCCACAAACACGGTTCATGGCGCCTTGAGGGCTGCCATGCCACATAGCGAATAAATGAAAAGTATCCCTTGCGTGTACTTGGGAACAGGTTTGTGTAAGGAGTGCACGGCCAAAAGGCAATCCTCGATCAGAAATGGCTGCGGACGCCACTGGGAGCCAGGAGGATGATCGACTTGGAATCTCCAGGATCGAGGTTCGAGGTTTTCTCACCTCGGGGAGCTCGCCTCGTCGCCATGGCTGGGTGCAGCTCGAAGAGCTGGTGCGCGTGGGTTCCAGGAGAGGTCTTGTGGAGCCTCTTGGGGGCTACTGGGAATTCTTTGGAGGGCCTCTTGGGCGCCTCTGGGTTTCTTGGGGAGCCTCGTGGGCCTTCTGGGGGTCCTTCGGGCCTCTTGGAGACTCGTGGGGGCTTCTTGGGGGCCTCTTAGGGTTTCTCGGGGGCTCCGGGGACGTTTGGGGGGACGTTTGGGGGGCCTCTTGAGGGCCCCTTGGAAGCGTTTCGAGGCCTCTTGGGGGCCTTCTGCTGGCGTGTTGGCGGTTCGTGGGGCGTTGTGGGAGAATTTCCGGGGCGTCCTGGGGGCTCCCGGGAGCGATCTGGAGGCCTCAGCAACCCATTGGAGGCGAAAAAAGGAGAAGGCAAGAATCATAGATTCCTCTTTGCTTTTTTGTGAGGCCTCTGACTTTCCGGAGGCGTTCTGGAGGGTCTCCTGGGGTCGTCTGAGGCTGTCTGGAGCGTCCCTCTAGGCGGTGCAAGGCTCTTTTGGGCTGCCCAGGCGGCTGTCGGAGTTGTCTCGGAGGCGCTTGCTGCCGCCCCAAATGCTGGCCCGGCACCCGAGACACACACAGACACACACAGACACACACAGACACACACAGACACAGACACACACACAGACACACACACACACACAAACACACACGCACACACACACACACGAACGCACGCACGCACGCACGCACGCACGCACGCACACAAGCACGCACGCACGCACGCACACCCACACCCACACCCACACCCA